TGAAAGCATAACCTTCGATTCTTTTTATATAAATTAAAGCTATGATATGAGAAGGGGGGTTAACATGCCTGATTTTCAGTTTTACTACTTGGCATATATTTTAACTTTTATTCTCTTATTGAACACATTCAGAACTACCATGGCACAATTATAAAGTTTCTGTGTGATCCTTTGTCAATATAGCAGGGCTTTGTTCTTCTTTTTAATAAAACCTTTGCCTTATTTTCAGCACTAAAGGTTGCAAGGCCTATTTGGAAAATGCTGGAATATAAGCACAATTTTTACCCTTATTCACATGCAAACGTATATTCTGAGATAATCCTAATTTCAAAACTACAAGTAAATCCTTTTTTTTGGAATTCATGGGAGAACAGAGGTGAAATTTTTATGCCAACTGAGTGCAAGATGGCAAAATTTCCAATGAAAACATCTTTTGATTTCACAATTTGATCCAGATGCATCTGTAGTATCTAAAACTCCTGATTTACAGTATAATCAAAACTGAAAATTCTCATTTAGTCTAAACCTACAGGGGGTTTTAATAGACAAATATTTTAAGGTGGATATCAGGTATTTCAAGAACTTTGGAATAAAGAGTTGCCATTTTTGCAAATCAAAGCCTTAAAGAATATTAAGTATGTTTCTTTGATCTTAGGAAGAGATTAATTCAGCAAAAAACCCTTTTTTTCCTGTTTATTGGACACTTCAAATAATGTTTAGAAAGAGTTGGCTGTCAGCTTCTTTAAACTGGAAGTGTAATATGGAAGGGACCCTTCTATGACATGGGATTTAATATTCATAAGTTTATAAATATGTTTTTGAAAAGAGTAATAACATTGAAAGATGTGAATGCAGTTTTGAACTATTATACCAAACATTTGGAACTCATTGGATTTCCAACCATGCAGCATAGCAAAAATTATTCTCCTGTCATGAAGTTGCATCATTCCAGATTTACAATCTTTGATATTTTTGTTCTTTACTTTTAAAACACTGACAAAATGGAAAAACTGTTCAAAATTATGCTCTGTAGTCAAAATTTAATGTATTTAAAAACAACTGTTTATTACATATTTTTACATTTTTGGTTTTTTCACATTTGTCTTTTTATTTTTGTATGTTAAAGCAATTTATTAAAAATTGAGAAGATCGTTAATGTTTGTTTTATGTATGTGTTGGGGAACAGTCAATTTTCTTCTGCTATCCTTGTATCAACTTAGAAGTAAACTCAGAAGTAAACTTTAAAACACTGTTCTAACTAATATCCGGCTAGCAACGTGGGCCATAGGACCTTAGCGAGGTAAGGCCAGAAATATACTGTAATTCCACAAACGCTGGTCACATTTGTGCCCTCGAGGAATATTGCAACATCTCATTACTGGATTATTTCCTGCAAATGCTTACTCTATATTTGGACAAATACACCCACTTCTTCTTTAACAATTTTTGTTCCTGGGTCGGCCTAGTTTCTACTTACTCCAGGTTCAAGCACTCCACAATTCTTATCAGTGCTTCAGAGTTGACAGACTTTAACTTTTCTGTCACTGGAAAGTACTTCAAATTTGTGTGTGTGTGTGTGTGTGTATTGCTGAATCTGAAAACTACAACTGTAGCTGTAGGTAAGTCATATTCTTGGTAAAACCACTTTGTTTTAAAGGGCAATATTCAAATATATTGTTAGAAATGTTGTGAGAAGCAAAACAAATATTGCAAAAATAAAATGATTGTGTTCCCTTTGAGTTAGGTCTTTCTTTATACCCAAATAGTTACAGTACTATATTTTGTTTGAACAATATACTCAGCTACCGCTCTGTAATGCTGCCACCTAGCGTTCACGAGCTTCCTATTTTATAGCAAATAGTGTAATAAAGTCTTATTTAATTGGAAAGGGTTTAACTGTTACTAGCCCAAGAGATGAAAGTAATTAAGTAAAATGGTCAAAGCTGTTTTAGTTAACAGTTTAGTTGATAACTGTATGTCTTGCAAATGGATTACATAGAAGGGAAAAAGGGAAATACATTTTCTATAAATGAAGAGTGGAAACTCTTTTTTTCCAACATTCCCCAGAAATGGGCCAGGGATCAAGTTCATTTTTCTTCTCCCCATTACTCTCTTTCTCTGCCTGCCAAGCCAGACACTGAGGAGCGATACGTTCGCTGGAAGTCTAACCACACTTATAAAGGGGTTTTGAAATAACGTTGAAGGCCACATGATATTCTCCCTTTGAGCCTGCCAATTTTCCATTCTCATGCTTCACTCCCCAGAGCATCTGATAGAAGCTGTGGACTTGGAAAAGGAACACTTACTGGTCAGGAGGGAACTCTGTTGTGAAGGCTCGTCCTGAGAGGAAGGGTCTACTCAAGAAGAAGGCAATTACTCAGTTACAGAAACTGAATCAGGCATATGCATTCTCAGTCTTCTTTGAGTGGCTGCTGTATGAATATTATCTTGCCGTTACAATAAATAGGGGCCATGGACCTCTAGCGAAGCAGGACAGAAGTCAAACTGGGATTCTTGATTGCAATTCTTTTTCAAGCCAAGATGCTATACGAGATCAGGGCTTTGCTTTATGAGGCTGAGATAGATAGTCAAATCAGTGAAGTGTAGAGTAACTAATGGGGTGCTGAATAGAATCTAACACCTTCCCGTTCATATTTCTATGGTCCCACCAGTATTTTAGGAATTTTACTCTGGTCTGAATAAATAACAGATAGATGTATTGTAAGAATAATGGCAAATAGTGGATTTTGTGCTGGTAAGGTAATATACCTTTATTTCTTCCCTTTTCCTCACATTATTTTTTAAAAAGTAAGGTTAGACTGCTGCCAGTGTAGTAAAATACCTGGCAGCCTAGCTATCTTGGTATATTTAAACAGAGAAAAAGTGAAATACAAGAAAATATAAAGACCTAGTAAATACATCCTAGTTAATAATTTATTTTATTAAAGGGCTTATCTTTTGCAAGCTACTTCATACGATACACAATAAATATTTGATACTGAAGTCATTCTTAGTCTTATGACTTTGGTTCACATATATTATAAAACAATATATTCTTAAAGTAATGTATTTTACTTTTTAAAAAAATAACAATGCCATTTAGCTATTATTAATTTGGCTAAATGAGCATTTATCTGGATAAATACAATCTCTTCACCCTCTGGTTTCATTTCCAACTCTGAAGCTTCAAGTTTTTGTGAAACCAGTATTTGAATAGAGTTATACAAAAGTAAACCAAGAATTCTGATTCATTTTTAAACATGTATTTATAAAAAGATAGACTGAACAGCTCAGTTAATGAGCACATACATACCACTGTGTATGTATAAACCCTTCCACTGTGTGCTGTTCTCTAAACAAAATTTGTGGCTTATCTTATTGCCTGAACCTGATATGTCCATTTGAGGTTTCCAGAAATTTAGGATATATACCCAAGATTTATCATCAGTTACAAGCCCATTTCCATAAACCCAAAATGTCAACCATTTCAGGTTTGGAAGATGCAATAAGCAATAAAGTTGGATTAAATACTGTGCATAATTGATGATGAACTGGGGGGAAGGGTAATGTGCTCATTAACCAACCATTTTAGAATATTTTAGAGTATTATAAGAACAAACAGAAATACTGATTAACATGGAAGCAGAAGGGCAGAAAAAAAGCTGGCATAAACAACATACCTGTTTCTTGGTTAATTTAGTGATCATGATGGGTGATTTATTCTTGGCTGCTATGTATTTTAATGTTTGTATTATTGTAATTGTTTTTATTTTTTAAATTTTGTTTGCTGCCCAGAATCACTTGGCAAGATAGACAGCCATACAAATAAAATAAATAAATAATATATTTGTCTTAATGTCAAATATTGGGGGGAGATGGGCAGAGATAAATTTAATAAATAAATAAATAAATAACATCAATGCTAATATAAAAGATAGGAAAAATTAGATATGAAGAAGGAAGTAGACAACAGCTTAAATAGTAACAACAGTTTTTTAAAAAAGGTTTGATTTTGCTACTGTTGTCACCATTGTACGTTAAATCATGCAATCCCTCATTCACCACCAAGACCACTGAAAAGCTGCCAGCTATTAAGCTCTATGTTCTGTCCCTTTCACACAACCCACTACCAAAAGAATATAAGGGACCCCGCTTGCTAGATCATAGATAGTCTTCTGGAACCTTTTAAGGGCAGCAGTTATACCTAAGGCTGGAAAGTGCACATTTTCCATACTTCCCTTCATAAGTCCCTATTGCCTTTAAAAAGAGCCTGTCTATAGTCGAACTGCCAAGTAGCGTGCAGATACTGTAGTTGCAAAGCCCCACAAGTCACTCTAGAGCAGCGTTTCTCAACCGTGACAACTTTAAGATGCGTAGACTTGGACTCTCAGGATCCCCCAGCCAGCATGGGGAATTCTGGGAGTCAAAGTCCACGCATCTTAAAGTTGCCAAGGTTGAGAAACGCTGCTCTAGAGGGTCAGTAAGCACTCCGAGAACCACGCAGGGCTTTCTTTCGGAACCAACTCACGCCTTTCAGAAAGTAGTGGAAACAATTAACCACCATGGAGAACTCAAGAGGAGATTCGTCTTTCTGAAGAAATAAGTTAATATCCAGTTTTCTCCCCGAGCAGTCCTGGACTGCAATTTGCTCTAAGTGGGTTAGTAAGCACGAGTCTAAGTCCTCTTGTGAACCTGCCCTCAATGAGCTCATTGCTATCTTAATATCCATGAGATCCAATTCCCACTCAGTAATTTTACTTGATTCATGGCAACATGACGACAACAACAACAAAAACAGGGAGGACCCGCACAGAAGCGGAGACGGGGCCTCAGAAGTG